GTAAAAGAAAACCTCGTTATCACATGTGTGACGTAACGATAGAGTCCCGTGAGAGCATCCTGAGCCTGTAGTACGAGGCGAGTGTCTGCAGGGGGCAGTCACGCTCTGCAGCAGCGACGGACTGACACCTTCCACCTCCCTCTGTGTGCCATCGACCTAGGAAGTGAGTGTGTCTGTGATCCTGTGGGTGAAGGATCCAGGTGGGCTGGTGGAGGTACGTGGTGGTGTAGTGCCCCCCCGCCCCGTTTGTCTTTTCTAAATCTACTCTGCTCTACTGGATTCATGCCTCTTTGTCTGATGGGAAACAGGAGGAGTCAGTTTCAAAGATACACATTATTTAAAGGGAGTTGATTATTTGGTATCACGTACTCTTCTTGGCTTAATTAACATATTGAGAGGAGATGCTTGGTTGATATCGCATATTAAAGGAACAGCTCACCCAAGAATCTAAAATACAGATGTTCTCCTCTCACCTGTAGTGCTTCCTATCATTCTAGATTGTTTTGGTGTGAGTTACAGAGTACTGAAGATATCTGCCGTAGAGATGTCTGCCTTCCTCAAAGCGCCAAATAACTACATTTGAAAAACTCAACATTCATGTCTCTTTCCAGAAATCATGACCTGGTTACTCGAGATAACCCACGGACGTTACTGTTATCATTTAACTACGGTTTAAAAGAAACAGTTCCTACATGAAACTGCTCACAACAAAGGTCTGCGGCTTATCTTCAGTAACCAGTTCAGGATTTGTGGAACGAGACACTGCCGATGAGTTATTCAGTATTTCTTTGGCGCTTTGAGCACCACAAGCCGAGTTCCCAATAGTCTCATTATATAGAAGAGGAGGCAGACATCTCCAACACTCGGCTACTCACACCAAAACAATCTAGATTGATAAAAGCACTACAGTTATGAGTGAACCGTCCCTTTAAAGCCTCTATGTGAAGGGGGACTCTGAGAATGAATAGACTTAAAGCAACACATGGATTTCCTTATTTTGCTACAAAGAACATAATCACATAAAAATCGGGTTATAATCTCATCACTGGTGACTTTAAACAGCTTGAAGTATCTGTGAAACTGCCCCCCCCCGACAGCATCGAGTCAAAGCACAGATCAGTGAATGAACAACAACCGACCTCTGTCTGAACATGAGGGCCGGGTCCATGTTGGCCGAGGTCAGCCGCACCACGTGTCTGATCTCCTTGGCGATCATCCTCAGCTTCTCAAAGTTGACGAGGCCGTCTATGCTGGAGTCGTTGCCTGAGAGGAGGAGCACATGAACAGAGAGAGAGGAGGAGCACGTCAATGCTGCAGAGGAGCAGAAACCAGTTTTTTTGGGGACATTTGTGGAGATATTTCTGTGTCGAATCCTCAAAGTAAAAAATCTCTTTGTTCTGGTCTCCTTCTTGTCTGGAAGATCAAAGTGGTCTTTCATATTCAGTCACGCTGGCACATTTGAGGATTTCTTTTGGCAACTTGCACAATTAGGGAAAACTTTCTTTTCCATTCCTCACACGGCCGTGCAGCACATGACGCTCTGCACCTTTAAGGAGAAGTCACTTTGGGTAGTTTTGACCCGACTAAAAACAAAAAGGCAAGATGGGGAAGCCTTTAGCAGAAGTAAACCTCCTGAGTGAGACTGAGATTGACCTTAGGAAGGAGGAAGTAAGGGGACCTTAGACTGAGCAGAATGACACGTCAATTCCAGAAATGGCCTCAATGGTCTTAGATGAAAGGAGATGTAGCTTAGGGTTTTCTGGGCCTTGCATCTACCTTCGTGTAGGAAGGTGAGGTCCTTCTTGACCACGGGGAACAGCGGGATGATGGGCGGCTGCATGCTCTGGCTGCTCAGGACGTTGCGGTACTTGGCCATGTTCCTGGACGGGTCGAACACGTCCTGCAGGTCCACGAACAGCTTCTCGTACTTGCTGGGCAGTTTCTCCCACGAGCAGCGCAGCCGAGCCACCGGCGCTAAGTTCAGGCCGCTACGAGAGGAGAGAGAGAGGTGCAGATAGATATGTGGAGGGGGGGGGGCAAGGTGGCAGAGATAAATAGGTTGCAGTGGGAAGGGTAGAGGTAGGGATGAGGAGGCAGAGGGAGGAAAAGGAGGTTAGATTTAGTGTGCATGTTCAAAGCACACTGTCAACGCAATCACTACGTTTATAGCTAATCGTCTTTTGTGCTATAAAACTCTACAGGAAACCCTGCACGTTATCTTTCTTACACACACACACACACACACACACACACACACACACACACACACACACTGCAGAAGCCATACCCCCTGTCAGCGGGCAGGTTATGCATCAGAGAGCCATATGTGCAGAAGACGTCCCGCTGTGAGGAGGAGTGTTGAGGGTCACGGAGGTCGGACACTTCTGTTCTAAAGCGGCTTGTACGGCAGCGAGCAGAGGAGCGCCGTCATGCTGAGCTCCACGGCTGCTCACAGTCGAGCAGACGAGTCCTTTTGGTCTCAGTCCACTCAGATTTCTTTAGTCTGTTACTCGTTTTTTTATGCTTTTTTTCACGTTGAGTGACTTATGAGCACATCTCTGGAAAACACAAGATTTAAAGTGGTGCTTTTATGGAGAAACTCAATCAATTAGCCGACATCATCGTGTATTCGACTAAGACTTTCTTTGGTCGAGGACGGCTCTAGTGAACTCATAAGACTGTGAGTCCAGACGAGTGGACGTGGTCTTACGTGACCCAACAATCGAGAGGACGGCTCGGACTCATGGATCCATGGCGCATTAAAAAACATAAAAAGTAAACTATGTATTTATGCATTGCACGAACTGGAATCTCCTCATCTAATCCAAATACACAGCATCACAGAGCTGCATCTCCGTGCATTTACATGTCAAATGTAACACACCCTGTGATGATGATTTATACGAGCGAATGAAGAAGAGCAACACAAAACACTCACCAGTCACCAGTCAGAGCACGGCAGACAAACTAAAAACACACACACACACACACACACACTCTGAGCCCACCTGATAATAGCGAACATAGAGTTGAAGTTCTTGCACTCTCTGCAGTGCAGGGCGATCTTGATGAAGTGCTTGATGGTCTTCATCCTCTTCAGGGCGTTGGGCTCCTTCAGGATCTCCGTGGCGACCCAGAAGGTCTCCTGGTTTATCACCACCTCGAACTGCTTCAGGTTTCCACTTCCCACCGACGAGTCCAGCTTGAACAAGTCGTCCACGTATCTGGGAACCACGACAAGGAACTTAGAATATATAAACTTTAAATGACCAAAGCGCAGATGATTTACAGTTTAACCATCACAGTGTGGAATAAGGTTCTACTGACGATCGTTATCGGACGATATTCAGTAAAACTAGACGATCTCCATTAATGTTTTCTAGTCGCCGATCCCTGATAATGTTACACAACAAATCTGTGGTAAAATTAGTCCGTTCAGTTACATTATGATGCGTTCAGGCTCTGTTCGGTAAAATGAGTGTTCATGATGTGTTCAATGGTAATCTTGTAAAATGGAGTTTTCGGTGAGAAACTGAATAAATCCAGCTGTTTGAAGGAGATGATTTTACAGCGACATGAAGTAGATATCAGAGAGACTTATGAGCTGTTTAACTTCCTAACACGAGCTCTAAGCAGATTATAATACACCATTAAAACTACTAAAACATTTTCTGGCAGTTTTCTGGTCTGGACTCGTCTCTTAATCTTTTGTCTCGACTGTGAAGGATTTAATGAGAGTTATTACGGGTCGTCGGCCAATTAAAATGTGAAACCTACTCTGTGGACTCGATGTTCCTGAAGAGCTCAAAGTCTCTCATGGAGAGCTGGGCAGCGACCTCCATGGTGCTGAGCTGCAGCAGAGAGATCTGGCTCTCTCTGAGGAGGTCTTGAGCGTCCTCGTCCGAACACAACGTCTCCGTCTCCATGTTGTTCTTCAGGTAGTACCTGGAGGGGGGGCAGACTCGTGAAAACTATATTTTATGCAATGAAGGCGTTAGGAAACTACATTTAAAGTTATTTTCCTATGACACCATCTAAACAATGTTTTATATACATCATGCTGTGTTTAAGAAGACTTGAAACTAGAGATTGAGACGATGAACTCATGTTTACAATGTTTACTGAGGTAATAAATCAAGAGAGAAGTAGAGTCATTTTCTCATAGACTTCTATACAATCTGTCCCCCTGCTGGTCAGTAGAGAGAATGCTGCTCCTGATAAATACAACCACGGTGCTGAACACACACAGACATCCTGCTGACACTGCACCACCTACTGGACATGTTATCATGTACAAATACTGACAAACACGTCAGTAAGATAAGAGGACAGTAAAGTATTAGAGCAGCTATCTATAGGTGCTGCTTGTTCATTCCTCTACCAGTATCATAGTGAGGCAATTCGTTTCGCTGCAGCTCAGCCATCCATCAGAAACACAGGGATGGTGTTACCACGAGTGTCCTCCGAGTGAGTGTGTGTGCTTCTTGTTTCTTGGTAACAGTTTCTGTGAATCTATGCATGTAAATAGAATGCGTGTGTACACTCAGTTTAATTTGCATGCAGATACGGTGGCTGCGTATAAGGAGGCGACTGTCTGCGTCGATATCTTCGCATGTGTGTATTTCACTGAGTGGATGAATAATTCCAGAACGTGCCGTGCCCGTCTGCCGAGGCCTCCGTCCCTGACGGAGGATGAAATATTCATGCTAACCTAGTTGGGAGAGGACTGATGAGAGACCACAGGAGACGAGGAGAGGGGGGTGGAGACGGAGAGGCCGTTTTAAAGTTTTAAAGCAGACTTGTACGGCTGCGGTTCAATTATCCTTCATGTTCCACTGACTTTGGTCTTTAAAGGGAATGTGTCTGGCAGCAAGACGGCACAGTGATGTCTCAGACTGGGAGACACCAACAAAAAACATATCGGCAACGAGGCAAACAAGTGGAAGAAAGTGAACGTTTCAAGTTGAAACAAAGAAATTAAAATATCCCTGCAACACTTAACCAGCATCGCTTGCAATTCATTGTAAACTGTTTATGAAAGGCAGAGTCTAGCAGGAGTACACGACATTTAAAAAATCATCCAGTGTTTCCAACTGAACGTAGCCTGCAGCTCCAAAAGTTGCTAAATCGAGCAAGAAAGTGTCTGCAAGTCTGTCCCTTCCACAGACGCTCCCCCAAACGTATTAGCTCTAGTAGGATTTAATCAATACATATACATATATGTATATATACATGTATACATGTATTGCACAAACTGTTGCCGCTGTGTTAGCAGTGATTTGGGAAAGATGTGCTGTATTTCTTGTACAGAATAAAAGTCACACTAGTACAAAGTACTGAGAACTGAGCGGCCTCGCCTCGTTTGAACCGACACCAGAAATAATTTGAAAGAGGAAAGGAAAGGAAACTCTCCCCACGTCTCTGTATTCTGGGCTTTGAGTCCGAGCACAGCGGGCGGTGTGTCTTTGGTTGAGCCTTTCGGGGCCTTCGACACGACGGAGGTCTGCACAAATTCTCAAATTGTCTGTTTCGCTTCCAGCTGCTCTTTGTCCAACATTTCCACGGTGGATCTGCAGTAACTACATGCCTCTTTGCATGACTAATGTGCCTCCTTAACCATGACATATCGTTGCGTTCTGGTTGATCAAAGCATTCTTGTTGGTTGGCATTGTGTACTGAAACTCACAACCACTATCTAAGGCTAAAGCATCTTACAATTCAGTCCGTTAACTTTAAAACAAACCATTTGTTGAAGAAGACCTTCTTAGAGAAGTGTGATTCTCGTGTTTCCTACCTGCCGTTGAGCTGAATGCGATCAGCCAGCTTGGAGAGCTGGTCTGGCAGACGCCGCTGTTTTATGACTTCCTCCAGGCTCACGGACACCTCGCACAGGGAGTAGGTCTCGGGCGCCGCGAGGAGGCCGAACTCATTGACAGCGTGGGCGACCACATCCTTGGCGGTGGTGTCCTTGCTGATGATGATGTAGCAGCTCTGCTGGTCGGCCTTGAACACCCGGATCACCTGGTCTGGGATGTCTGAAAGAGGAGCGGAGAGGTGCCAGTGACCGATCAGGGGTTGGGTTGATGGTTACAGAGAAGTGGAGGCCAACGCAAAATGCTCACAAATGCCAATAACGCAATAAAAGGAAATGTAATGAAGCCAAGGACACAATGAAACAGTAATCTAAGAGCAGTTTTGTCAATTTTGGCATCTATCTTTGTCTGAGTAATGCACCAATAATGTGGCCGTTATGAAACGTGGGCTGTGCCAGTAATTAAAAGGAATGCTACCAGGCTCTGGATTCCATATTTTATGTTTATTATATTATCAGGTGACAAGACTTATGTCCTCTGAGCAGATCTGCTGAGCTTGTTACTTTCCTGCCAAAACGTCTTTGGTGTGAACCCAAACGGGCAAAGAACCAAAGACACAACGCTGACCTGACTGTTTACAGTTACCATCGTTCAATGATCCCGGTGTTCAGCCAAACCACAACACCCCGTTACATCTGCTTTGCAGCCTGGCTGTAAAGTCTCTTTGTGAAGCAAATCTTCTCATGGACTTGCGTGATGATTTATCTTACAACTGCAACATCTCTTCATTTTTTGTTGTAATTGTTTGTGTTTTTGTGTTTATTGCTGGAGCATGTGTTGGCCTATGACAGAGAGGAGGAAGTGTGGGGATTGGAGGAAGTGCAACGGACCTCGAGACGATCACCCCCCACGGCATCCTGACCACCCAACCAGACCCAACAGACACAAACGCCACCGAAAGCGGAGTCGACCGCCCCAGAAGAAGAGTCGGGATGGAAGCTAAGCTAACCCAGCTAGGACCTCAGGCTACTCCACTACCCAGCATGCTCCTGATTAATGTCCGGTCGCAGGAAAATAAGATGGATCAAATAAAACTTCAGGCGAACAACGGGAGGTCAGTGACAAGAGGAGGCGTACTCTGTTTACATCAATGATGCTCAAACACACTCAAAGATGACGGTCGGTGTTTCCCTAATGTAGAATTTGTTTACGTTAATATGTCGGACATATTTTATGCCAAGAGAACTGTTTTGTTGCAGCTGTTTACATTCAGCCTGATGCAAATTATAAACATGCACTCCAGGAATGCACTTCTGTTTTTCTTTTGTAGAAAATGGGCGACAACTGCATTTCGTTGGTCAAACCTTGTGTTGCACAACGAGGATAAATGATCCTTGAATCCCCTACAGGCCGACATCAAGTTTAACAAAAGTATTTACGCTTTTTATATCAAAGACTTTGACAGGACGAGGATGCATCCAGAAACACACACAGTACTTCATCCCAGCAAACATGTACACTAAAGCCTAAAGACACAAGGATCAATGGTCAACCTGGCTATCCACACATCAGTAACACTTTAGTTATTTTAGTGCTATATAATAATTACATTTGAGTTAAAATATAATCCTGTTAATAAGTCAAAAAAACAGCTTCGTTAAGAATCTACAAGACCTGCAGATGTAAAATAGAAAAAAATACAAAACTAAAACTTTCTTTATTTAATAATTAATACATTTAACATTAACCGAAGCACATCGTGTAATGCACCACTGAAAAGCAGTGAATGCAAAACAAATTGAATTATTCATTAAGAAACAAATCAAACTGCTTCATCTCTCACAGTGACTTCTCTGTTAGACGACACTCTGCATCATTGTTTCATTGATCCGAGGAGTTATTCAGCAGCAAGAGGCCAAAATAAAAGCCCGATGTTGGTGGCGACGCTGGAGCAGCTGCACGCGAGTGTTAAATAATGGACCCCCCCCCCAACCAACCTCCCGAGTGAATCGCTGCATTAAAGATCCCCTTGTTTGAGTAAGAAGAGGCTGCGGCCCATTAGCCACCGGCAGCCAGAGCGCTTTAAAACAAAGAGTCATGAGAGGAGAGGAGAGTCCGACAGACCCGATGAAGCCGTCACACCGCCTGTTACATGAGGTTTAGTTCAATGACATTAACTGGAGATGGAGCGAGGGCACGAAGAGACGGTGGCTACATATAAAAGGTGTGTTTGACTGATCATGTTGCAGGGTCACACACTGCTGCTCCCTCCTGTTTACCAAGAGGAAAGGGTTAAAAGTGTGCTCGGATAAAGAGTCGTTACCTTCACCTTTACGAACTCAGATCTCTGTGGGGATCTCTAAGTGTGCAGATGACAACAGCTGGAGCACGATGTGCAGAAACAAAGAGCAGAACGTCTGAGTGGATGCTCATAATCCACCACCTCTGCCTGTTTAAATGGTGTGTGAACGGGATCCATTGTGTGTTTCAATATCAGACGCATGAATGAAAGAAGTGTGATTTGCATCACTCTGGAAGTGTTCGTGTGTTACAAGGATGTTGACATGTTTTGCTTTCTGTTCCGTTTTTTCTGCATATATGCCATTTTAGACAGGAACACAAAAAAAAACAGTTTTTTTCCGTACTTTTGCTTGAATTAAATACTTGAATCGACGCCAGCCTCGATGTCAGAGGCCAGTCGTGGTTATGAATGGCCTCTCTATACGGTGAGCTTATTGATTACAATCACGTGACACACGAGCTATATATGAGTGAAGAAGGAGATAAGAGCCCCAACAACAGAAACACAAAGATTCATCAGAGTAATAACTGAGTGTCTGAGCTGCAGCAGCAGAGCTCACTGTGTTTATGAGGCTAAACGCTCAGAGTCTCATTAGCTGTGATTTGTGATGCAGAGTGTGGGAGGCTATAATAGCTGGCCAATCGTATCCGGGGGGGGGGGGGGGGCTTAATCATGTTTAATCCTCTGGACCGTCCAATCAATTATCATCATTAATACGGTGTCATTCATTGTCATCAACACCGGAGAGTTTACTCACGGCCTGAAGCCAAACAGGATCTCTATACAGTCTTCTTGGGTTTTTGCAAACGCAGCACAAGAGAGGCAACATGCTTCCCACAATCCTCCTCCTCCTCCTCCTCCTCCTCCTCTCTACTGTTTGCCAAAGCCTTCTCCCGGTCGCTCCATCATACAGTCGGAATGCATAAATCACACGTGAAAGTGTGCAGAAGTAGAGGAGGGCAGGGAGGAGGTGCTGAGAGGAGACTGGAGTAGAGAGGCTGTAGAGTAGCTGAGGTTACACATTAGGACTATTACAAGTTTTCTGAACTGTTATGTTTAAACATGCAAATGAGGCATTATCTAATGGTACCTTTTGGTGAATTTAGGAGAAATCTGCAGATGCAAATAGACAAAGTAGTAAAATAAACACCTAAATGTGTATTTTAGATGTTTTCTTTCCACTAGTCTGACAGAAGACGTGTTATGTAAGTGTAATAGAATAAAAACAAAAGACGGGTGTATGAATTGCCTGTAGTGTCTCGCCTTAAAGGATCCGGCTGGTGTTACTTTACGTTTTAATTATTAAGAGACTAAAACGAACAACAAATCTCTCCTACGAACAGGTTGTGTCCCTGCAGCCAGAGCCTGACACTTCTCAAGCTTTACTCTTTGTGATAAAAGTCTGTTTTTTTTGTCCACACGACCTCATTAGCAGCCTCGTTCTCGTTCTCTCTGTGTTTGATTGACAGCAGCCGGCAGCGTTCAGCTCTGGTACCGCTGGCGGTGGCTGATATTTACAGGAACATTAACCTGCTGTTTAAATGTGCCGCGGCTGAGCAGCCGGAGCCTGAAGGATGCAGATATGAAAAGATGGAGTGTGGGTTAAAGGATAAAGACAGTGTGGCACTGAGGCTTATACTTACAGTAGAGTCCCAGGGCTTTGCCAGCAGAGAGGAGGAAGAGAAAACACAGTGAGTATGAGAAACAGAGAGAGAGGGGGGGGGGCACAGAGGAAACATCATGAGGGAAGATCAGAGTTTCTACTGCTGCTTTAATCTGTTCATGGGAAACCAGAGAGGCTGACTCATCGTTTCTACACGACAACATCTGTTCAAAATCACAGCAAAAGAGACGCAAGAGAGACGCAAGAGAGACGCAAGAGAGACGCAAGAGAGACGCAAGAGAGGGAGACAGAAAGGGAAAGAGAGACAGTTGGAGAGGGAGGAAGAAAAACAGAGCGGTAGAGAGAGAGAGACAAAGAAAGAATGAGAACTTCACCTCTGAATACAACGATAATCTGAGCAGATGTAAATGCAGCATAATTATATTAACAATGAAAAGTTAAGTTTGTATCTTTACTTGATTGGATGTAGTTTTAAAAAATCTGTTTTTTCTCCTTAACATGATGTATTTCTGTATTCCAGCATTTAACGTCCACGCTCCACTTCTCAAACGTCTCCAGCTTCACTTGTAACATCCCGTGAGCCACACGTCAGGACAATCAGGCCTGCAACTACAGACAATTTCATCATCGATTGTTTGATAAAAAAAGTCTTCAGATGGCTTTCTTTTGTTCAACCAACAGTCAAACATCAAAGGGAAGTCGATATAAAGTGATGACGGACGGAGAGAAATAGGAAAGCAACACATTTTAAAAAGCTTGAAGCAGCGAATCTTTACTCAACAAACAATTTAAATGTTAAAGAAATCTGAACGTGTTTATTAGAATGCTTCGTGGAGACGGACGGACGACCAGAAAACATAAAAAAAACAACAACTAAAAAGCACCGTAAAACATCCAGAGAGCCTCCTCTGTGCTGATGTAATGATGATGTCATCACAGGTAGGTTAAAGGTACAAGACGCTCCGTTGAGCATCTGGAACAGAGTTATTCTGTTTGAGCGGGCTGTTCTCCCCTCGACTGTTAAATCTAATGAGAAGCCAGAGGACTGAAGGAAACTTGATCGAATGGCAGATGATTCATATGGCACAGTTTGTGTGTGTGTGTGTGTTTGTGCTCCACTACAACACACACACACACACACACGTGATGCAGGTGTGTGTGTGTGTGCGTGTAGCTCATTGACAAATTGCCTGTGGAATAAATCAGGACTATATTCACTCTCCCGCTCTATTTCACCTCTCCACTTCCTCTTTCATGTTCTCCTCTCTCTTAATATTTCATTCACACACACTCACACACACACACACACACACACACACACACGCACACATACACACAAATCCACAGGGCTCCTTATAGTCCAGGAGGTTAATCTTTTTCAGACGTTAACGATTCTGGAAACGGCTCTCTGGCACCTTAAAAAATAAAGACCCCGGGGTGAGAGAGTGTGTGTGTGTGTGTGTGTGTGTGTGAGAGAGAGAATAGGTGTGTAAACATATGCTAGAAAGCTCCAGTAACTTGTTTTGGGTGTGTGAGAAGCTTCGTGGCTGCTCCGTGTGATTATGTTTAAGGATGACGGGTTGTTCTGGAACAGCGTCTGACTGACCAGCGATCAGGAGTCCTTCACTGTTCAATGAGGCCTCCAGCCAAGTGTGACAAACTGCCTCAGGGAAGAAGAAGCAGCGCTGAACTGTTGGACTGAGACGTCTGGAACGAGGCCATGAATGAGTGCAAGGGAACCAGCAGTTGTGTAACACCACAGAGTGTATATAGGATGAGGACGTAGTCGGCGTGATGTCACCCGTTAGTGTGTGAACGGCAGCGATTTCGCTGTCGCCATCTTGGAATGCAGCTTCTTGTTATGATTATTGGTGTTTTCTTCACGATTGAATAATAAAAATCAAGCTTTTCAAACCTGCCAGCGGGTTTCAGGATTCAAAACGCAGAAACAGAAACAGGACAAGAGTCAACACGCTGTCCTCTGGGACAACCAGTATTAAAGGACCATTCGGTGTCCACAGGGAAACCCCTCACGTTCACCGAGTCAGCACTTCTCCTTACCTGCGGGGTTGGAGAAGTCGAGGACGCTGGTGGCCGGGTGCAGCAGGTCGGGGCTGCTGGACGACAGGTTGCCGGGGATGGGCATGATGGCCACGCTGTGCCGACACTGCTTGGTACCCACAATGCTGTCGTCCTGAGACTGACCCACGCCGCCATCACTACAGAGGCGACGAGAGACAGACACAGAGAAGAGAGAGAGAGAGAGAGAGAGAGAGAGAGAGAGAGAGAGAGGAACTTTAGGTCTGCTCCATCAAAAACTAACTTTACTTTCTAAAATTGATTTGAGGCTTTTATTTTGCAGCAGTAGACATTTTTCTTTCTCGAGTTTTAAGCGCAAATATCAGAATGAGTGCCTTTTCCTCCATCTGGAGAGCGTGTAATAACTCATAACACTGCGGAGGCACATATCAGGAGATGCAATCAAAATGTCTACTCTTGCAGAATGGCGACACAAAAAATATCAATATCTCTGTATTTTGTCTTTTAATATGCAGCAGTGGACACAGCTGAAGCTCATCCAACGAGGCGGTTTCACGGTCGGCAGGAACTGATAAGGAGCATTCACGGACAGACGGACAAGTTCACCACACACACACACACACACACACACACACACACACACACACACACACACACGAGACAGTGACACACACACTAACAGAGACACAAACAAGCATCGCAAACAGCAGGTATGAAAATAAATGATAAGTAATGAGGAGTTTAGCTCATTCAGATGTGACTTTGAAGCTGTTTCTTATACTTTGTGTCGCCGCTCTTCCCTTTATCCTCCTCCTCACATGTTGCTGTTAGCATCTAGCTCCCTGTTCTCTTGTGTGCGGCCACATCATGCGGCAAACACCGGGCGCCTTCCTGGCTCCACAGCCGGTCTCGGGAGATATGCAAACATCAACCTTTACACCGATGAACCCATTAGACTGGATCTGCATACATGTGACGGAAATGGCGACGGACACCATCAACGGACATGTTGTACGATAGGATCTTGAGCAGCCCCGCCTCAAACGATAAATGTTAAATAATGCTTTCTTAAACTGTTGAGAAGGCTGATTGATCTTAAAGTAGGTGCATTTATAACAGTTCACACTGAGAAACTGGAAACATATAAAAAAGAAAATGTGGTCGAAAATGTGCACTTTTGTTTTTTACACTTTTCTGTTAAATGCATATTTCACATATTTCAACATGTGGTCGCTTTGAGTTTGACTCTCAGTCTGTAATTGAGCGTCTGAGAGCTCATCCCATCCTGCCTGCATACCAATCTCCCTCCAGGTGTGTGTGTGTGTGTGTGTGTGTGTGTGAGAGAACAGTGTCCTGAACACGCTGCAGTAATGCAGGGCTTCCACTAACACGGCCCAGAGCTGCTGCAGCAAAGCCTCGGTAATCATCCAGTCAGCGGTCAAAGTGACGCACAGACGTCATGGAGGGATAGTAAAAACAGATACGGGAGAAAGAGTGGAGGAGAAAGAGTGGAGGAGAGAGAGTGGAGGAGAGAGAGTGGAGGAGAAATAGTGGAGGAGAAAGAATGGAGGAGAGAGAATGGAGGAGAAAGAATGGAGGAGAAAAGTTGGTGGATTAAATAAGCTGGAGGTCGGTGAACAAAAGGAGATTCAGGAGGAGGATGATGGTGACGGATTAGGAAATAATGGAGCTCAAATCAGACTAGAATGACGTTGTTGGATCTGGACCGTCTCACAACACTGATAACAGTCACACTGTGACAAACGCATGAATCTGGTTTGAGAGCAGCAGGATAAGTCTTGAAGATTTAGTCCATTAAAAAGGACACGGACAAGATGTCCAGCGCAGAAACAGCTAAAAGCTGTCCTGTTTACAGATATCTGTCTGATTTACCTCAGACTGCAGGTGTGCTGACAAGACTCAGACTTAAAGAAAGCAAAACCATCTGCAGCCTCCCTGCACTGCCATTAAACCTGCTTTAATGTCTGCTTTATGTGTGTGCAGACTGCAGTCCGTTCGGTTGGATGAGAAGGAAACACAGAGAAGGAACACCTTGACTTTGCGGGGAAAAAAGTGGGATTCATGAGTCGGAGGAATTAGCATGAAATCTACGAATGCAGTCTGCTTGTAATCAGCTGAAGGTCAGTGATGCTGGTGTGTGTGTGTGTGTGTGTGTGTGTGCAGGTCTGCAGATGGAACAGCTGAATGAAATGGTTGGAGGACGGGGAGTTACGCAGGAGGTCTTACCCAAACAGGCCCCTGAGGCAGCGGAGACAAACGGGAGAGAGACCACATTGAAAAGCGTGTAAAAGAAAAAAGGAAGCAACAGAAATATAACAGAAGCAGAGTGACGAGGCCTCTCTTTCCTCACACACACACGTAAACACACACACATGTCGGCTGACAGAAGTGTGGACAGGTTTGCTGAAATAAATAAGCAGAGAAATGTCAGACGTCTGCAGAGATTCAAAGACGGCACATGACGGGTAATTGCAGGATTTGTGAGGAAATCAAACTCGACTGTTTGACCTCGTTCACAAAATAATAAATACTCTGTTACTCTCCAGTAACTGCAGCACACGTTTCAGCTCACAGATCCGTATTTCGTCAGTGTTCTACAACTGTGACACTTTCTGAGAGTCCGACAGCAGAAGCCTCCTCGCGCTGCTTTAGCTTCATTATTAAACCGGACGTTAAAGGTGCTGCGTCTCCTTTCTTACAACATCTTCAAAACCTACATTTAAACAGTAAAATGTGGACGTCTTGAGACGTAACACAATAGTTACAGTGACGGCATTGTTATTTAGTGCATGTAGCTGTAGCAGAAAGAAGTAGAGAGGATGAAATGGCCTCATGGGGTTACTCTTCTTCATCGTCATCTCACTAAATCACAGAGACCTCTGAGACGAACGGACTAAAGGCTGGAACCTCTCTCTATTGCTTTGCAATCTGCAGGATGTAAATCACCCTCTCTGGTCAATATGGGACGTGTGTAAAGGAGCGCGCACAACTTCATTTGGCAGAAAAACGACTTGTTTATTGCCAGCGTGTCCTTGTCATATAAAATGCTCGTCTCAAGTGGAGAACAAAGTCGGCCAAGAGCAGAAGGAGGCTGCAGCAGTGAGACGTTTGTGTACGTAAGAGCGTCTGCATGGGACGCTGTGAGAGTCCGTAACACGTCTCCGCTCTTTCATTCCTCTCTGTATTCTGAAGGTTGTGACACAAAGAGATATCCCAAATTCCCTCTGTAAAAACCTTTGACTCTAATATGTTAACAACATGAAACAGATGTTTTTATCCAGTGTTCAGATTGTGTGTGCATATCTTTAAAACTGCATTGTCTTTACAGCAGCCTGTCCCTTTGGTCCACATACATCCGGTAGACGACTCTACCCGTCACATGTCCATCCTCCAACAGGCCTCTGATGCGTCCCAAATGACCCAAAGCACCCGTCTCATGTCCCGTCCCTTTAATCAGCCACCCATCCCTTTGAACCAAAGAGCGGTTTGAACGACGCCGACCAGCAAAAACAAAAAAGCAACGAGAGCCTTCGTTTGGTTTCGATAAACAGAACGCAGCAGAGAGCCGTCGGAGGCCGAGCACCGAGTCGGATCGGCGGACACACAATCACTTTTCATAAAAAGTGTCATAATCACGTCGAGCTGGAGACTGACAGCAGTGAGGGAGAACAGTGAGAGAGTGTTTGCGTGCTTACAGCTCGTCAGGGCCGTGCAGACGTTCAGCTCTGTAATTAACAGGGCAGAACAGCGTCTTCTCAGTGTGGAGCTTAATGAGGCCTGGAGAGGCACGAAACGATGAGATGATGAAATGAAATGCAGCCCTGCATCAGCACGTTACGGCCCGAATATTGAATCTGAGCCTCCGTCTGCACAATTCCTTTCAATTGTTCCAGACGCTGCGAGTACAACGACGAGGCTAATATGATGATGAGGATGATGATGATGATGATGATGGTGCCTTTTACGTTTTTACGTGATGAGTCTGGAACCAATCGACGTTACAGCGGCTGAAGGTGGGGTGAAATAGGAGGAAGAGTATTGCATCACAGGCAAACGTGTGCAAGAAATCTTCAGAGCAAAGTGCCTGAAATGGGGACGCTCTGTGCTGCCTTCCACCACTTTCCAAAAGGACAGCATTTCAGTTAAAGATCCATTTCCTTCTCATTGGAGGCTGAGTCGTGCTGTTCTCCGTCTCTTCCTGAGGTGAAGTAAGTGGGGTTCAGTTCATTGGCAAAGCTCGAGGCTTAACATTCTGCTCAGGGTTCCAACATATTCTGTCTTCAGATGGTCACAGCTTGCCTCGACACCAATGCAGAGACAGGAGAGCGATCCAGTCAGAGAGGATTGTGGGCCAGCTGGAAGCTAAATCCATGTGTGCACTCGTTGTTTATAGATTGATTAGCAACTTGAGATGCGAGACTGGAGTTGAGAGACGACGTGTACGAAGACGTTTGCAACAGGTGCAGCACTCTTACTATAAAAGGACCAACTACCAGGATCCTATTGACCCAGAGCAGCGTCTGTCAGTCTGTCTGAGGTGAACTATTGTATAAAGCATACCCTGCTTTACGGCCTATTTGAGTCTAAGTCACTTTCTCATAGACTTCTATACAATCAGAGGAGTCACCCCCTGATGGACACTAGAGAGAATGCAGCTTTAAAAGCAATTGCTTCAATCTTCAGAGCCGGAGGTTGCCGCCTGGTTTTAATCCTCATGTATTTACCCTGCGACCACAGACAGCGGTGTGTTTGCATAGATCCTCTCACCTGAACGGTTTGGGCGGCAGTATGCTGAAGCGCGTCTTCTCCAGCATCTTCCGGATCTTGTTCCGTCCTCCTGACACGGTGTTGGCCTTCATCTTCCTGGTGCTCTTGTGGTCCGAGGGGAACTCCATGTCTCCGGGGAGGTCGGCGATGGAGAAGCGGTTTCCCTTCTTCTCCTGGATCTTGGGAATGTGAGGGCCGCCGTTCTTCTTCTCGTGCACGATCCTGCTGAGGAGCTCTTTGAAGACTGGACGGATAGAAATGATTACGAATGATGTGAAGTAAAGAAAACTAACGTGGAATAGAGTGAGAGTACACAATACTCAGGCTTCGCTCACCAAATATGTTGGTCTTGGCTGTGAGAGAGAGGTGTGTGTTGTTTCTCAAGATGTCAACGGCTTTGGAGAAGGAGATGTTCTCAAAGTTCTGACCGTTGATCTCCATGATCTGAAACGAGATGACTACATTACAGCAGGACCAACAAGAAAATTAACTTTTATTCTTGGCTTTTTTGTTTGTACGTCTTCTGGAGTTTGCGGAGAATATTACAACTCACAGCGCGTTGAGCATAAACACAGAGTATGATAGGTTCATATGTTTAACTTCCTGTACGATTATCTCCTCAACTGTAGTTGAGAAGAATATAATTCTGGTGTTAATCATATCAAACAACTGTAATCTTTTCAGATGGAGGTCCCTGAAGAGAAATCTTTCAATTTAGACGACAGAGTATCTGAACTGTAAGGACCTTCCTTTGCTGTATCTGGTTCCTTTTTCTGTTTTATTTATACTTTATTTAAACACGAGCGTTCACTGTGTCATTTAAACCTCGACCACATTCTCACATCAGGAGTTCAAAATAAGACTGATGATCATGAGACTCTACAACCTAAAACCTCTCAGACAGAAGTGGTCAGAATATCTGCTCTCCTGCTGGGAAGCTGCCTCCTGACACCCAGCACGCATCGTTCTAGAAGCTTCCCTGCTGCTGTTTACTGCATTACATACTGTGACTTTTGACCAGTTCGGGGTCTAATTTACAGGTTTTTCTTCCGCCTGCATCCCATGATTTAGTTGAAACGTGTCCATATTCCACGTTTCACCTCAAATCTACCTCGATATCATATTTCATCCCGTACAACATTTAATTAGGTCATTTTATGCAACGTTCACCTGGGGAGTAAACGGATGCAGAGCCCTGATGATTTAATCCAAACCATCTAATTCGGGACTAATTCACTTCCAGGGTTGCACACAAATGCTGCTCGCTAGGATACTGATCCACCACACTGACCTATAATCACATTAATGTCCCTGTGAGGAACTTCTGAACCAGTCTCAGTGTAGTCCTGATCCTCAATAAGACCTCCATCAGTAAACCAGACCATCAGAGAGAAGATGGTCTGTTTCTATAGAGTTATTCTTGACGCTCGTCATCAGAGCCACCGGGTCGGATTCTGGTGAACTCAGATGAAATCATGCAGGTTCACCAGAAACTCCTCCAGCTCAGACTCCAGCAGAGACCGGTCCACCGTGGACAGACCCAGATCCTCCAGCAGAGACCGGTCCACCGTGGACAGACCCAGATCCTCCAGACCATGTATCATATCTTATAGCACCCCTCTGGATGTTATGCCCCCTCACCTGATCTCCACGTTTGAGTCCGGCCTCTGCAGCCTTGCTCCCCACTTCCACCGACTCGACGAAGATGCCGAAGCCTCTCTCGCTGCCGCCCTGCACGCTGAAGTAGAGCGGCGACTCCCTGGACGCCTTCTGCAGGGTGATCTGCCTCCACTTCGCCTTGGCTGCACACGCGATGTTCAGCAGCCGCAAGTGGCCCTTCATTTTCTGACAGGGAGGAAGACGTGATGAGCTCGGGGAGATTTGTTTTCCTTAAGGTGAGCAACGTACTTTTCACATGAGAACATAAACATAAGTATAAACTGGGGTTTGATCTCACTGTGGTTTCTAGATGTTTCTCAAAGTCCTCCAGGAAGTGCGTCATGGCTGGGTCGCCCTCAAAGTCATTGAAGTGGTTGTTGACCCACAGCAGCACTATTCTCGTTACCTGTGAGACACAATGGGAGCTTTCATTTAGCGCAGCCACAAAACAGACACGTCTTTTGCACACAGTTCCTGTCCCGGTTCAGTTTCACGCTCTCAGTTCTCTCGCCGGTCGAGGCTCAAACTGCTTTGGCAAGAACATCTGCTGAGACTTTTCACTGCTGGTGTTGGGTCAGAAGTCCTAAAGAACTACTGTGCAGGACCTTGGGGAGCTGGAAGTTGCTTAGAGACTCTTTAGGCGGCTTAATGCTTGGCAACATGAGTGCTTCAAGTGCAGTCATCTTTACTCACTGTGTAACCATGCTGTCAAAACCTGTATACAGAAAATAACAGTTAAAACGGTTCAATGCTGCGTCTCTGGCGGGTGGTTGTCCACACAGACAGTTTCGTTTCTGCCGCCAGCTCTTCTGTCTAAATAGAGTTTTACATCCATTATGTCTCATTATAAATGTCATTTATATTTGTTTTAGACAGAAAAAGGTAAAGAAGCGTGCACTCAGTTGTAAATATTAACAACAATTAAAAGCCGTGCAAGTCAATGCATTTTTCACAACACCGCCCCGGCCTTTTGCTACCAAATGAAAGAGGAAGTGTTGAATTAAAAATAAATATTTATTTTTTTCCATGTCTGTGACATGTTCTACAGATAATAAAGTAATGCTGCTGGTATGATATCAACATTCCGTCTGCAGCAGACACACTGCTGTGGCGTGGGACACGGAGGGGCGGAGAAAACGGATCAACTTTGAGGAGTTCTGCGGAGTCCACCGCGAGGAGGAAGAGAGGATAAAAGATCCGAAAGTTTCCTCAACACTAATAAACATCAGCTCACGATCGTCCTCGCGGTAAGTATAACCGAGGCGCTGTGGGACCGTGCGAAATGGTCAAATTTGACTTTTTATTCAGTCCAAATGTTTCTGAAAAAGGAACTGTAAAACACGGGAAACAGCAGGGAGGCTAAATAATGACCGTGTGCATGGCTGCAGAGGAAATGTTTAACGACCGGTTGACTGCTTCATTTCGTCCCACAGTAATTAGAAGGAAAAACTAAAGCAAAGGGCTTTCTGAAACTATTATTTCTGCTAATTTACAGCGCTGGTAGCATGGTTCTAACCTCCGCAGAAGGTCAGAGCGCCGACCAATACATCAATCAATCAATGTTCACAACTCTCCCTCCACATTCTGGTTCTTTCTCCCTCCTCGCTCTGTGCGGGGTTAGATCCTGTGGAACGGGGCTGAAGATCATAAGCCTGAATGACGGCCGCATGAAGACTATTGACGGTACCGGACTAATCTCAGGTTAAAGCGGTTGTGGACAAAGGAGAGTGTCGGCTGTGAACAAACCGCTGCCCGGGGCTCAAGGACGGCTGAGCTGGCTGAACTCGTTTCGATCGGCATGTGAGCGGCACAACAAATGTCCATCGACATGCATGAATACAAAACATTAGGGGTGCTGATAGCGCCATCATCAGAAAGTGCACACACACACACACACACACACACACACACACGCACACACACACACACAGGAGTGCAGATAGATGCAGTTTTTGATTGGTATGCATCCGCTATGCTGCAACATGTACGTGCACAGAAACACCTTAACACTCCCAGCCGACTTGACCGATCATGTCCACTCTTGCTCCAACACACAAACTTTAAAAGTTTCTTGCTTTATTACTCACCTGTGTGCACACACACACACACACACACACACACACACACACACACACACACACACACACACACTGCACAAACACACCCGAGGAAACTGCCCAAAACCAGGCGACGGCCCTCCGACTCACCGTGTCCCGGAGGCTGTCCACGTGGAACCACTCCAGCAGTTTCTTGCCGACCTCCATGGGATTAGACAGGAAGGTCCTGTAGGTGAGCAGGAAGTCCTCGATGTAGGTCGGGTCCACCACCGACGGCTCCTCCACCAGGTGCATGATCAGGCGCTCCGGGGTTCCCTAGGGTGAAAGAATACATGGAGCACAATGTAGACACACACAAGGATGACACAAGGACACACACAGTCTGTACACACCTACACACTGTGTACACACACACGCACGCACACAGGAGGCAGTGTACTCACCAATTTGAATAAATTATGTTGAGATAAATCATAAAAGTGACAAGGACAAACTGTAAAGATGCAGCTATTGAACTGAGCTGTCAGTCAGCCATCAATAAAACAAAGACACACACACACACACACACACACACACACACACACAGAACAGCTCTTTAACGAGAGCGCTCCTGAGCTTTTATTACTGAGGTATCACATCTTTTCTGGATTTGTATAAAAGCAAATCTAAAAGGAATAACTGGCTGGACTCAACACTAATATGTTTTGCCCAATTTCCAGCTTTTTTCTCTCCTCTATAGGAATTGTTTTATTTATCAGCAGTAATCAAAGACTTATCAGAGGTAATAATAGTCATGTTTTATCTGCCTTGCTCTCAAACTTGTGGCAAACTTCCCAACACGTGTTGAGTTTCGTCCACTTCCTCAAACACAAACTAACTAAACTCCTGTTTGCAGGACAACTGAAAGGCTCGTTACCTCTGACAGACTGAGCATGTGCAACTGTCAACTAGAGCGATTCATCGATTAGTTGACAGCCGTTAAATTCATCTGCAACTATTCTGATAATCAATTCATCGGTTTAAGCAACTTTTTTCAGAAAAACAAGTCAAAGTTCTCTGATTCCAGCTTCTTAAATGTGAATATTCTTCATGTTTCTTCGTTACTTGTCTGTGACAGTAAACTAAATATCTTTGAGTCGTGGACAAAACAAGACATTAGGGGACGTCGTCTCCGGCTTTGGGAAACACGGATCCACATTTTTTAACCATTTTCTGACATTTTACAGACCAAACAACTAATCGATTAATCAACAATGTACAGCTACTCACTGGCTGCCACTAATGAGTAAAACAATAGCTCTTTACAGTTCTACTGTCAGCACAACGGGGCTTTTTACTCGCTCTGGAAGATCCTTATTGTTTGGGACAACGTTTTTGATTTCTTTGTCTTAATAATCTTGTAATTGTTATTAATTAGCAGCAGAGCGTCCGAGACACAAACTCTCCTCTTGTGGTTTCAGCGAGTTTGTCAATGTCATCAGAGCAGAGGTTTCTGGAGGGAAATGATTCATCGCACAGGGAACAGAAACTAGAAAGGCATCCACTTTTGTCATAAAAAAGAAGAGCCAAGCCAAAAACAGAACGGCAAACCATCGTGAATTGACTCATCTCCTCTGGATGTGTTTTGGAGCCGACAGCCTTCCTCGGAGCGCTCGGCCAGGAGAATCATTCAGGCCCATTATCGGATCAATACCTCGCTGCCTCTGGAGGCTTCGGGGGGGGGCAACGTAGCGCAGGAGAAAAACGCTCCGACAAACACTAATAGTGCTAACGGAGCCTCGAGACGAGCAGCGAAGAACACCGAGCAGCTGCATTGATGTTTTTTGGCGAGGAATGAGGCGGTACTCTAATCAATCCAAGGCCTTTCAGAGTGTTCAGTACATAATAATGAAAACTAAAGGAGGACAACTTCCTGTTTGAAGAGGTTAGACATTTAAAGCCAAAGTTTAGGGTGAGATTAAAGAAGTTTATTAGCAGCTTAACCTGACCACAAACCTTCCAGGTGCCCGTCCCTGTCTCATCTTATTTAGGATCTTGAACTAGGTTATCTATCTATTTACTAGACAGGGACAGTGCTCAGCTTCACCACAGTTAGCTATAAGCTCATTTTTAATTTGCAGTGTGAAAACCAAAATTACAAGACAGAGCATATTCACGATACGATTACAACAACAACATTAAGGCAGTGCAACAAGAACCACAACATTTCACAACAGTAAGGCACGTCTAGAGTTTGCATTCATGCTTGATGGGCACTTTGGGTCAAACACCTTAAAAAAACCCTCTCACCTTGATGACGATGTGACCCTTCCTGGTGCCGCTGCGGTCGAGCTCGCGGTGCTCCTTCACCATCACGATCTCGCCCTCCTCCTCCACCTTGTGCGTGTTCTTCTCCACATGGTTGAGGATGCGCCAGTAGTCCTCCTGGGCGACGCAGACGAACTGGTCGAGGACGACATGGGGGAAGCGGGTGAACTTGTAGTAGAGCAAGACGCTGCTCGGCACCACCTGCGGGTACTCGAACAGCAGCAGAGCGGAGGCATGGTGGCGGGCGGAGAGCGGCATGGGAGGGACGGGACAGGACGGAGGAAGGAAGGTCCCACGACTCTACTTCTCTCTCTGACTAAACTGAATCAAATCAGACTCAAAAATCTTCTCAACTCGCCATTTCTCAGTAGCATCCTTCACTTCACCTCGACACTGAAACGACGACAACTTCCCATTATATCACACACGAGACATGACTCTTCACTTCTCTACAGCGACTAAACCATCAGTTTCTGCATTCGCCTCGCTGAGCCCTGTACCTCTGCCCCTTCCTGTGTGTCTGAAGACAGGAAGTGATGCGTAACAGTGGAGGGGAACTGGGCAGTGTGGACAGAAACAAATGTGGCCTGCTACCACAAGTACACGCTTGGCTTCTTTAACCTCTGTAGCTTCACAAGCAGCCGTCTATATCGAGCCTCCTGTGAGGCTCGATATAGACGGCTATATGTGAACGCGTCTGAGAAACAAACCAAGATTATGACTTTTAATTCAGATGTGCAGATTATTTAGTTCTGGTTGCAAACTTCTACACTGCAGTCAAACAAAGAAATTAAGAAAAAATAGAGTTAACACAATCTTCCCATTCACAAATTCATAAATAATGTAACGTTAATTGAAAGAACGTACGTAAACATCAACTACTATATGATTTAATCATGTCTCCAGGAGTGCTCTTTACCTGGCAGTCGTCCCCCTTGGTGCGGACTTCTCCGTGCATGAACTGTTTGTCCAGAGAGGGCGAGATGCCGAAGCTGTTGCCCATGCAGAGAGTCTCCACTCTGGCCTCCGGGTGGCTGATCTCAACGGCCCCGTTCAGGATGACGTACCAGAGGTCCAGCTGCAGACATGAGGGGCACACAAAAGATCCTCAACCACACGTTATCGACACATTTAGTTATGTCGCCGATAATAACGCTGGCTGGTGGATCTTCTCATCGCTCCTAATTAAAGCGATGAGAAGACCTTCACCTGACGGTTAAAACGGTTCCATGTTACTGACTGACATTTATTAATATGCAGAGATGATGTGCATTATGTGGCGGTGAAGAGGCATTGTGTCTCTAGTGGTGGCTTTTGAAAAAGAGGAAATGCTGGCGGGCGTAATATAACGAGCCGTTGGTCCCAGGTGTGCGAGCGAATGGAGGGCGGGCGAACGAGCCCCGAGCTCCCTCCTCAGCCATCACTGATATCTCCACCTCATTGCATGTTCACTCTCTCACTGTTGCCTCAATTCTCTCAGTGCAGTCAGCCGCTCACTCTCCTGATTTCTCAGTAATGATGAAATCAGTGAGGTGAGGTAAGGTAATAAAGTTTGCATGAATCCTAAAATTCTTTTACATGTTGTGTAAAACTGAGTGTTACATATGTTGAACATGATAAATCTAACATTAAATGTGTGGTAAACTTTATGATTATACATTTCACATTCATGAATGTAAAATTACAAGAGTGAACCCCAGTTTCATTGGATTTCTATGTGAATTTGAGGAATATATCAAAACTCTTAAACTAATAAACACAAAGGAAAGTCTACGATATGGCTCCATCTAGTGGTGAGGTTGCAGATTGCAACTAACTGAGACTTCTCCTGTACGGCAAGCGTGATGGAGAACTACGATGTCTGAGGGCCTCTTTCACAGTAACTTGTGATACACGCGTGTTTACAAATCACTGCATGAGCTCTCAGTTGAGTCGTACCTCCTGCTTGTCGTGCAGTATGACCGTGCCAGCCTGCTCCACCACCTCAAACACCATGACGCTGCACAGGTCTCTCCGCACAGACATGGTCATGTTGGCGAAGGCGGGCAGCTGGTGCATGAACTCCAGTAGTTGCTCTGTTTAGGCACAAAAAGGGATGAAGGGGGGGGGGGGAGAAGAAAGCAATTAAATGAGATAATGTTGAAACTGTAGTCTCAAGGCTTTGATAAAGAAAGCATCTGTACTATACGGTGTTTATCTATTTTCCTGAAAAGCCCAACACCCTATAACCGTTCAGGAATGAAACATCATGATAAGACACACACAGATCATCTTAATAAAGACAGTCATTGGCCAGTGCATATTTAATACGTGCTTCGGATTTTCCTGCCTAATGAGGATCTGCACCGTGTTCCTCCCATACAGATGTTCTGCACTGTGTCTGAGAACAGAGTGACCGAGCTTCAGCGAAGCGGCTCCCTTTTATTCCCCTGTTGTTAATCATCTCGTTCACTTCCTCTCTTCCTCTTCGTCACTTTCCTTCGCTCTATAAAAGGAGGAACCCCAGGGAAGAACTGTGTTCTTCATGCACGGATCCATTTTGAGATTTTGGGCTATTTTGCTTCAATAACACGTCTTCTTTCAGACTAGTGGAAAGAAAACATCATAAATACACATTTAGGTGTTTATTTTACTACTTTGTCTGTTTGTCTGTAAATCTGTGATTTAACTAAATATCTCTTTAAAGAACACATCCTCCATATCTACTGTTCACAAGCAAACGTCTCATACTGAACCTTATTAATTCATTCATTTTTCCTATTCATTCATGCTTTTCAGACACTCTGTGAGCCGGGGTTGAACTCGGTCACGTCCTCCCCTCAACTCCTTCCTCTGAATGAGACCAGCGACCTCCCAGCGGGCCGGGCCTTCACAACTCATCTCAGCCCTGTGATGTGGTCACCTTCTCCTCCAGGACCCCAACTGGGTCCCGCTAATGAGGACGTCTCTCTGATTGCCTGCTTAAAGATACACAGTGGAAGGGCACAGCTGTTTGGAGAGCACTGCGAGGGGGCTTTTTAGTGGGAGGTGTGTCTCCACTGAGCTCACTGAATGATAGATGTCGTCTGTATCTCCAGTATGTGAAGTCTAAAAATAGTAACTGACAGTCCGAGAGTGACATTTGGGCACATACTGTATAAGTGCTTCAGTTCACTATAAGTAGGGACAGACGATAGAAGAAGTGGCCGTAGTCAGTGTGATGTCTCCCATTGGTCTGTGGACTGGCGTCCTAAACCAGCATTAACTTCACTTTTCAGTTGCTTATAGTTAAGTAAGAAAACATTTTTCAAGGTATTTCACCGTTCTAAAAAACATTACTACGACATTATGACGTTTTAGACGGTAGACTCACCGATGTCGTCGTCGTTGCGGTCGGCCGGGTCTTTTTCCAGACACTCTCGGACCAGGTCTCGGCCCAGAAGAGTGTCTGAAGCTCTCTCCAGGTCCTCGTCTTCCTCCTCCTCTTCCTCGCTGTCCACCGCAGCCTCTGGAAGTCCGGACAGGTCCACGTCCCCCAGGTCGCTCTCGGTGGCCTGCAGCAAAGACGGTGGAGAAGGCAGCACAGAGGTTTGGTAAAAAGCCTTCCGGCGGTTTCATGTCATGTCATGGAATCAAACGGTTACTCAGCTTTGGAAAGACATATGTCTTTTCGTTGGAGTGAAATTTGTAAAATAATTAAGTTGTCACGTATTCACTCTAACTTCACGGCTCTATTCCATTCCCCCTTTATTTGATGTGGATGTTCAGTGATACGTCATCCACACAGAGCATTTAGAAGAACCTTGGAATGAGCAGCTGTACCTGTGACCCTGAGCTGAACGCTAGAAAACAGAGGCGAACAGCCAGATATTTAAATCCAGCAGTAATAATTCATATTTAACCATATTTCCTCTGTGCGGGGCAGACAGATGGTTGGCTCTGAAAGGGGCATGGGGGCTTTTAGGTCGGGTGGGAATTGAACCATTAACCTAGAGGTGGAGAGAGGAGCTCCTCGGTGGTGGTGGCAGCATTGCAGGCCATCTGTCAGCTCTAGCAGGTAGGCCTTCAGACATTTAGCTCCGTCTCCGTTTCGTTCTTAAAATGAGTCATTTTATTTGTATAAAGAAACCAGCCAGGCTATTAAGGTATCCTGACAAAAGGGAGTTTTCTGAGCAGTTTCCAGGACAGACGTGCTCACCATTCTACTGCAGACATGTCATTCTTGCAGAAACCCCCGGGACATTATCTCGGAGGCACCGATACATTTGGGTAGTATTGATTGAGAAGAGTGGACTGAAGCTGGTGGGAAAGAGTTGACTTCCTGCCCTTCACACTACCGGATGAACTCCCTCACCAACAATGCACCGGAGCTCTTGGGTTCTGTGGAGATCTGGTACCTGGCCGATGGGTTTTATAGGTTTCTCTGGAGGGAAGGGGATTAAGCTAACGGTCCATCCGGAGTTCAGGCACAGGTTCACTCTTGTTTACATAAATTAAGTCAGACTTTTAAAAACACACAAGCTACTCAGCTCTGCATTCATTTGATCTACAAGATAAGAACAACATACTTTCCTGTCCGAGATAAAAAGTGAATCCTGATTTTATTTTCTTTGACACCAATAATGAACGATTAACTTAATAAAACAGAGCTATCCTGATTTATTGATGCACATCTCTTCTGCAGAACCAAAGCAGCTCAAAGGGAAGGAGAAATACTCCATAATATAATTAATATTAATTATATAATATATAGTTAATATATATTATATATTAACCCGAGTGGACACTAAAAGACAATCGAATCAAACATCTCAACAACAAAATATATTTTCCTTTTGCGTCACCTCTGATTTCTGAGTCTTCAAGGAATTTTTTCTCATGTATTCATCGGGCCAACACTGTGCAGAGAAAGACAGAAGAACACTTAAAGTACTAGGAAAGTACTACATTTGTTTTTGTCTAAATGTGTTGGTTTTTTCGTGTTTATTACTGGAGCACTATGACAGAATACATTCATCAACATGGGGGAAAGGAAGTGTGGGGATTAAGTGCAGCGGGCTTTGAGACGACCAGCCAGAACCTGCCGGACCAGAAGCCCCCGAAGTGTCCCAGAGAGCAGAGGGAGGAGAGCCCACATGGATGCTAAGCTAACCCAGCTAGGACCCGAGACTACTCCACTACCCAGCCTGATTAATGTACGATCGCAGGAAAATAAGATGGATGAGATAAGACTCCAGGCGAAAGCCTTTACAGAGACTTGGATCACCATTGTGGGTCAAGCTGCACTTGATGCAGGACTCCGGTGGGACGAGAGGAGGTGGACTCTGTGTTTACATCATCGGTGATGCTTGCTGCTCAATGTCGGCCATATTATCTGCCCAGAGATTTGTTTTTGTTGCTGCTGTTTACATTCTAAAATTTCGATGTCGACAATAAATGATCCTTTCATGGTTCCCAACAAGAGAGAAAACTGTTATGAAGGTCGTTAAAATCCTGCAGAAAAGACGCCTTCAATTTCTTTGTTGGAGAAGAGAAGCATTGAGGTGATGGGTAGGAGCGCTGGTGCAGTAACACCTCGCCTTCTGCCACGGACATACTGTCTCTTTTAGTGCTTTTGAGAGCCCAGTTCATTCAGAATGCAGGATGTTCCCTTTCAGTCCAATTCCCCTGGTCTCCGGCTGAGTTTGAGCAAGGAGGACATTTCCTCGAGACGAGGGACATCAGATCTGCCCACGTTTTACACCGGAGACAGAAGAATGAGGGCGGGATGCAGAGAGGTTCATCGTACAGCCGAGAGATGAAAGAAAGCAGGGAGAAGCACAGAGGAGAGTAGCGGGATGAGGGAGGGACGGAGAACAATAGGAGGATGGAGTGTGACAGACAGGAGAGATGTGAAGAAAGGGCAGAGGGGAGGAATATGAGACGAGAGAACAGGAGGAGGCAAGAAAAGCTGTTAAAAAAAAGAAGAAGGCAAAGTCATAACCAAAAGCGTTTGTTGCTCTGACAGCTGAGGACCTCAGCCGACTGGAGGGTCGGCGCTTTAAGACGGCCGTAAACAAACAGAGAGCCGGGTCAGCGCCGAGCTGATGGGATCACATCCGTGTGATAAATATCTAATCTCAGGACCAAGTGTTAAGCGTCTGACCCGGGCTGACCGGACTTACATCAATCTGCAAACACTCGCAGACAGGCGGGGGGGGGGGGGGGGGGGGGGGGCAGATAAGGAAGTAAAAATATCTGAATGATGTCATTTTAGTCCGTTTTCTCTATCTAACATTCCCCTGGCAATGAGTAATGGATTACATCATTCATCGACTCCTTGTTTTATGACTTAGTAACTAGTTTTATGTTATTGCTCTGTGAGTCATTCTTTCTCTACATTACTCTCATAATACTTTGCCTCGCGGGGAATAGTCTGCTTCAAGTCGACAGGAAGAGCTCTGAAGATACAGATGACAGCTTTTCTTTAGTAGTAAAACTGTGGAATTAAAACTTGATACCATCGGGCCAAAAACAACTTTTCCCCCATAGATTCACATCAGGAACATCTGTAAATCAGGTACATGTAATCAAACGAACACCACTGTTAAGCTTTTTGAAGCGTGAATCGTCAGAAGTAAAAGGCTAACGTTTCTTCGTCTCATTTAGACGCTTTTTTAAGACTAGCGTATTCCATAAGAGAACAAAACGATGAAATCTCTTAAGCTTGTGTTAACCACGGACCTTATTTCAGGCCACTTTGAGACGAGGGAACCGGAAGTGTAACTCACTTCCTGGTTTTAGGACTCATTCCTGCAGCACTTTATGGGACCGTAGTGTGGAACATCTTGATAACTTTTGTGCCATATTGCACATAAAATGATATTTCAGTATATCGTATATGAATATTATACAACGACCACCCCTATTAAAGTAAATAAATAATAATATTGGCATTGTTAAGATTCCTCGCTGAAACAAAGCTGCTCATTAGTTTTGTGTCCATCGATGAAACCAGCTCATTAACTTGTAACGAGCTCATTAGTTTGAGGCTAATGGACCTCATCAGTTCTAACGATGAATGCTAACAATGCTAACAAGCTGGTGTCAAATGAGAGCCCCGCCCAACCCCTTAAAACATACACAAACATGTCAGAGGGGAACTCAAATACTGCAGCACCCTGTGAGGAAGAGTCAGCACCGAAAGGTAATATTAATACGCTTCTTGGATTTATCGCGACTCTCTGTGTACAGAGGGGAGATTAGGAGAGTTTAGGGATTAAAATGATGAGATGACGGCCTTGTCATGTACCCTTTTATGGAATATTATTAATATACATTATTTAATTACCTTACAATCAAGAGACGCATTTCATTCCACAGCACAATGAGCTATTGAACGCTGTGATACAAGAGGAGAGAGGCTTATTTTACACTCTGTGCATTAAGATGGGTGACCGTAATAAAAGCAACTAAAGAAAGAGCTTCCTAGTCTGCGGACATTTAAAGGACACAATAAACACATTCAAAAAATCTCCTGAGCATGTGTGTTTGCCTTGTTTTAGCTGATATGTGTGTTTATGTAATGTCAGCTATTGTGAGCACCGGGAGGAAATGGGACGTTTCCTGAGGTAAAATAATCTCCTACAGTTTCCCCTCACAGAAGGATTCCTGACATTCCTGTTTAGGGAAACCTCAATCAATCAAGCATAACGTCTGACATCATCTGCACAAGTGATGTGCACTACATGTCATAGTCTCTAAATGTCCGTGTCTTTACTGCAGACCAAATGGAGAGCTGCACGATGGTTGTTCTGAGCCGGGCTGCACCGTCGATGTGACGGCTCCTATACCTTTAGCGCAGGTATAAACAGAGCTCCAAAGGTTAGCTTCATTTCCTGCATGTGACCTTTCGTCCGCAGAGGGAGACGGATCACCAGGATGCACGACTGATGCACAATAATTAGCGAGACGCCGAGGATTACAAGGAGGGAGGAGCGGAGGGGTTGACGGATGTACTGCAGGTAGAAAGAGCTGGAGGAAATCAGGCTGGGGAGAATCCTCCATCAGTAAAACACTTCATTACTCTTTGTGTTTAATGAGATAACGGTGGCAGGGAAGAGGAACAGTTCGTTCTATGTCCATTCAAAGTTTTTCTTTTTTTAATTGACGGTAAAAGGAAAACGATATTCCTAAAATTAGATTTTAAGAATAGAGTTAGAGGGGAAAAAATGGCAAAGTGAGAAAAAAAACTGATGTTTCATCAATAAGCCGTGATTTAATAATGTAATAACCCCCAAACTCTAAACATGTGTGCACATATTAACAATGCAGTCTAAATAAGGAACACAAGAGAAAAATACTACGATAAAATGATTTAAACTTGTAATGAAGTCCCCACCTGGTAAATGTCTGACAGGCTGCTGCTCCCCGAGTCGCTGGCGATGCTGCATCCTGATTGGCTGGGAGGCATGTGCATCACCTGCTGATGGGCGTGGTCTGTTAGGTGCATCTTATTGAGGTCAGCAGGAAGCTGTTCAGACAGACAGGAAGTCGTAGAAAGGCGGAATGAGAAAAAAAATAGAGAGGAGGATGTGAGTTCAACAGAGGCAAACAAACACACCGACACTCACACTTACACACACACACACACACGTTTCATCAGCCTAAAAGCCAAAGCTGGTTTGGCACTGTTTGACATGTTACACTCCAAGATAATTAACAGGAAGGACGGAGCTGAAGACACTTCAGACGGCTGTAAATGATCACCCGGGTCTGGAGGTTGATATGATTTCTGATGGACAGACGAAGTGGGAGGCTGGTTGTATATTGTTGGAGTGACCTAAGCAGAGCGATGAAGCAGTGGCTGTCCTATTAAGACGGCTCGTCTGGCTTTCTTTTATGCGGACAGCTTACACGTTATTTCCTGTGTGTGCACACAAGGACACTCAAACGCCGTCCGTTTGTTTACTTCACGATAAGAAGACAATTTGCACAAGGCAAAATTCATTTGTTTCCATTTTGTTATCACGACCATTGCACACTCCAAAAATCTGAATTGCATAGAGCTCATTCACAAACAAACCCCTCAGATTCAGAAAGAGACAAAGACGTCAGTCAAGCAGCCGACTGACTTCTGAAAAGCTAAAGAAACTTTCACTGACAACAGAAAGGACCAAAAGGTCCCCAGATCAATACACCACCTTTAACCTACCATCACGCACAGACTGACCACACACAACCTAATTATTGTAATGTAAAGCAGTTCAAACTGTTAAATTATGGCTAATAAATAATAATTTCCAACAAAAACAGGCTAAATTCAGTCATATGTGCGAGCTGCTTGAGCTGGGCTGGTTCTGCTGAATATTTGGTAGCTCACTGATGCTGGTCTGTAACGTGGTTGCAAAGATGTTGCTCGGTTGTTAATATAAACAGTTAATATTTCTAGTGGTATTTGTGTGTTTAAGTGGATTGTAAAATAAGGGAGACATGGTTTGAATGTTCCAGCACCACGGAGAGAGACCGGACGTTACTTACTATTATATCTGTGCGTCCCAGTTATACGTCCTTAAATCACATTAAGTTCAATCTGAAGCTTTGCACCAACTAACAAAAACGAAACTCATTTTAATTCCCAGCTTGTGTGTAAAAACAAATCATCAAATCCAGATGTGAAACTCTCTTCTCTTAATGAACAGACTGATTTACATCATTAATTAACTGACCACCTCGGTAAGTGAGTTACTACCATCAGCGAGATTTACATTTAGAACATAAAAAGAATCCCCAAACACACAGCAGAGGACAACTCAGTAGAAGTGTTGTGACACAAAGTCTTACTGAAGAAGAGAAGAGCCTCTAGCGTTAAAGATTACAAGCCCTGCAAAGCTGGAATCATCTAAAGAGTCAGCCAACGTAACGAAGCACCTTTATCCAATGTGTACAAGCAGATCAAGCAAAGGTCCAGTCCCAGTATTACATCCTTCATTTACCAACACAAGGCTGGAGAGGGTTAGCAGAACTGGTCCACTACACCCAGACACTGTAGGTGAAAGAAACAATATTCAGTGACTGATTGAGGAAGTTAAAAATGGGGTTTACCAGTGAAGTAGTCCAGACCAAGACTGTGAGTGGTTGAGACCAGACCAGTGCCCACAGAGTCCCACACTGCATGACAACCCATAGACACAAACCAAAGATCCACATTTACATAATGACAAAGATTCCTCTTCATTCACCTCTTTTACCGCCATATATACTGTGTATGTGTGTATATAGTGTACAAAAGGCTTTGCTGAAGGGAATTCTAACTGTGGGAATGTTCCTTTGATTTCAATGAGCCATGACAGTAATGATGTCAACAAATAAATCAGGCAGTTTAGTGATATCCCTGCAGCTGTGGACTTGACTGGTCGTGAAATAAAATCCAGAGTCCCCTTTGTCTGAGACCATTCTGAGACGAGACCTTTAAGAAGTGGACTTAAGACCAAGACCTATCTCCAGCACTACATCAGTAACGGTTGCCTACAAAGCCAGGCAGCTGGTTTTCACCTCTATTTCCTGTGCAGGTCGCCAATCGTTCTTGGCGTTCCCTCTGATCCTCTAGTTCTCAGGTCTTACCAGTTTGGATCGGGGCAGTACCAGGGTGAGAGACGAAGTCCTCCTGCGACAACGGGTAAACCTACAGCACGCCTCCTCCATCGCCACTCGCCGGCCGAACACTGAACACACCAACACTTGCTCATGCAAAGACACGTCAAGACAAACTGGATGTGTGAAGCTAGCCGAGGCTGCGAGGAGCCGCGGTGCCAACATGCAATATTAAAGACGTAGAGTCTGGGGGGTGCTGCCCCCTCAGTACTCTCTTCTAATAGGCCTGTTGTACTGTGCGACCCCATCAGCACTTAAACCCCCACCACCACCACTCCCCTGTTCCCCCAAACCCACAGGGAAACACAGTACTGAGGGGTGGGGTCTGAGAAGTTCAATGGCTTGTTCTTAATGTGTGGCACGTTAAAAGAGGAACGCTGTACGCTGGATTTACACACCAGCATTATCCATTTTAAATTGTTTTTTGGATATTGATTCCACGATTGCATTCAGGTTTTATTTGGACACCAGGATGATTAGCAACTGCTACGGCAGAAGCTAATGGGGATCCGATAAGATCAACAAATAAGATCCCTATTCACCACTCAGTCCACTACGTTTACAGTCGGACATCTTTTTTGGATTCTCCAAATTCTTTGGGGAAAAAACAAATCTACCGGAAGATTTATCTATCATTAGACTTCCTCTATAAATCATTCCTACAGTCCAGCAGAATAGTGCTAACATCACTTCAGAGTAAAAACAAGTTAGCATCTATAAACTTTAAACATTAACGCTCCCCGCTCCCCCCTCCCCATTTCAGTGATGAAGTATGCCACATACATATTCATACATTTGCTCCCATGTTTCAATGATAATCCTACTGTCTAAGTGTTTGCCATCTGCAAACACTTAGACAGTAGGATTCTAATTTCACACACATACTGACTCACAGATCTCTTAGTGTGACTTAAGGAGTATTTAAGTGAAATCCATTTCCCATTAGGAACAGCAGCGTAATGAATTGTGTGTTTCACATATTGAACGGCAGGCAACACCTAATCCCAGACTGTTTGTGTTTTCGACTACATCACACATAAGTAGAATTCTCTGCACTCGTTCTGCTGTTGACCAGCACTCGTCACTACTAGTTTGTTGTGTTTCTGTGTGAATAAGCAGAGACGGATGAAGCGAGAGGGGCTGGAGTGGGAGACAGAGAGTGATTGCTAATTTCATCATCAGGTAAATACTTATCGATTTCAGTGTGATGGAGCAGTTATGAGGCAGCGATGATGAAGCTCCCACCCTGCTAACATTTAATACATTCAGCCAAATCCACACGCAAAGACACAGAAATTAACACGTGAAGCAGCTGAGTTGACCAGGAGCTCCAGCATTAAATTAGATAATTATTATTTAGATAGTTTGACCTTTTTTTTTCAGAACATAATTCTCCACTTCATGAAAAAACCTTAAATGTGTTATTCAGGCAATAAGCTTAGAACATGTGGGTCTTCCTGGGAAACAGCTGATTTTAGAGCAAGCTGACAAGTGGTATTCATGTCGTATCTGACCCGTTTCACATCAGTTCATTACTCCCAACAAAAGCTATCTCTCCAATATACAAGGCAACACTATCGAGGATCCCGAACGGATGAAAACAAGGATCCCGAACGGATGAACACGAGGATCCCGAACGGATGAAAACGAGGATCCCGAAAGGATGAACACGAGGATCCCGAACGGATGAACACGAGGATCCCGAACGGATGAACACGAGGATCCCGAACGGATGAAAGTTATGGTATTTTTAATAGCCTGACCTTCATCTTGTCAAGATCATAGAGGAAACAAGCGTTTAGAAATCCTACAGCAAGAGTTGCTGATACTGATATTTGGTAACGCAAGACCTGCAATAAGGAAGAGCCCCGTAAAAGAAGCAGGCGATCTAGGAAGTAATGGAAAAGTTTGACATCTTGGGTGAGACCTTTTCAGACATAAAATGCTACATTGCTGGCTCCATCTAGCTGTTACAGTATTGACTTTTCATCATCCAGACAGGTGGTGACTTTTACGTTAATGTTCCTTGCATCTTCCTTCGGATTACGACAGCACATTAAAGTAAGGAGCCCTGTGCTCGCGCAACATTTGGCAGCTGTGGAAGCAGCAAAGAGAGGTAGAGCGACGGCGAGTTCAAAACGTTATAACATCAAGGAGGAAGAGCGTTTCCTGTTCTCTCACAGGCTGAATCACTGATTCTATCAATTGGCTCAAGCTTACTTTGTTTAATTTATTAATTAAGAAAAAGACTTAAGGGATGAGATTACAGTTAGATATGAAAGGGAAAGGTCCTCAAAAGTGTGTGTTTTGGAGGTATGAAAGAGAGCAAAAACAGACAGAGGGAGTTCATGAGTTTCTGTGAGTGTATGAGGGAGGGATGGAAGGAGGGGGGAGTGAATAATTGTGGCGGTCTCGTGGCTCCCATTCACACCACAGACTTAATCCTGCTCTAATCCTCCTCTTTCCCGCTCCCAGTGGGCTGAGCCGTGGGGGGGGGCAAGGGGGTTTAGGGGGTCTCCCATTCTCCTCATGCATTAAGGATGAGAGTTAGGAGATTAAATATGAATGTGCGAGGCTCCTTCAGCTGTACAGTTCTATCATGTCAACGAGAGGGCACAATCGTGGAGGATCAAGCCGCCTCTAAATGTTGCGTCACAGTCAAACGGACCGAGTTGTTCATTCAGTTATCAGTTAGTATCACCGACTGAGACTAAGAATGTGTGGTTAGAATTGAAAGGATTAGGCCATATCGGAATAAAAGCTAGTTCTAATGAAGAGACATTGATATGAATTCTCATTTGTGTGTTTTTTTTCCAAGACCAACAAGCTAACACAACGTCATACAGTTCATAAAAGTATAGCACCCAAAAAAGGAGCTTTCCCTCCACCCATCCATTAATGAGGGAACATATGTCAATGGACACATAAATGGCCGCTCTGCAGTTAGTTTTTTTAACGATATTTGTCTTTCTGTAGACCAACTCAAGTCCCTGAAAGCAAAACCAGTCAAAACATATTATCTTTCTGTTATAAACCCGAACTCTGCTTCACTTATTGCATCCAATCTCAACAATGAGATTAACTATCTGTGGGCCTGAGTGCTCTGTTCCCCCTCGATCCTCAATGATAAAATGGGCTATAAAGCCCAGACTGGCCATTTGGGACCACAGACAGGAGACTGGGCTTCCCAAAGGCATTCGAGCGCTGGGATAATCTTCCCCACACTGTAGGTCAATGCGCAGGAATGGTTTTGGGAAACTTTGAAGACATTAATGGATGAAGCTTGGTCTGTCTAGCATTATAGTCTGTCGGTTAACAGTCCCACAAGGGTCCATGCCATTAAAACACATTTTCAAACAGTGCTGCTACTTCACCTAGAATTAGGCTTTGCATTAGCTAACAGTTACTAGTTTAAATGGCGGCTTCATTAGGATGCAGAGATACCATTTAATGACTTAATGGTGGGACACACCTGAGACTTCACTAAACCAGCGCTAATAGTGCAGAAAGAGAGACGTTTGAGCAGAGAGACACAGAGACAACAACAGACACAGAGAGCAGTTAACAGGAGGATAAGTAGGAGGATTTATCAAAAGAGATGGAGCGTGACGGAGACGTGCACACCAACAGACACAAGGAGACAAAGAGGAACCGGAGAACAACGCAGGAAGATGAATAACGAGGACAAACGGCGAAGTCATGAAGAAAATGTGACGAGGCTGATGAATCCTGATGAGGTTTTCAACAAACAACGACACAAACAAAGCTCACTGGATACGAAAGACATCTTGCTGGTGATCACAGAGGAGTTGTTTCAGTTCAGGAGTTCACTAATATACTGAAGGATGTACAACAGAAATACGGTGGCGGACAAAAAGGTTATTCATGTGTTCACATATCATAAGAGACGCCAACACATGAAAGAAGAAAACCGCAGCATTAAAGATCGATGTATGGCACGATTTAAACTGTCCTGGTTAAACACTATACTTTAATCAAGTAATACCCAATACTTCCAACTATAAAACATTATGATGGTGATTCATAAAGAGAGTTTCATTTCTACTGACTGATGACGTGTGAAAGGCTGCAGAGGTTGTAGAATGTCTTGGCGTCACTGCTCATAACATCACAGCTGAGTCAATACAGGCATGGTAACGGACAGACAGGTCACTGGGGGGGTATCGGGCATGAACATGGCCGGCCTGTAGATGTCAGCGGTGACAAACTACCTCGACACGAGTAGTAGGACAACAACCACAAACCTCCTCAATGACAAAATGTTAAACCATGCAAGTTAATATCTGTTTTTTACTTCTTTCTGGTGCTGAAATACTGTTTTTTTTCACGACTATCGTGGCCAAAATTATTCCGATTCATGATATTATCCTAATAATCATCAAAAAACTCAAACAAACTGGAATCCCTTTAAAAATCCTATGTCGTCTCATTCCTAGTCATACCCACGGTGACTCACAGAAGTCACTATAACAAGAAATTGGGGGGGGGGGGGGGGTGGAGAAGAGTTTTCTGGCAACCGCACTGTTAAATAGACACAAGAGAAAAAGGCGTTCATTCAGTTCCATTAAACGCCTTCCCACAATATATTTAGAGCGTAATTGCACATTAAAGCCAAGCTGTTAACATGTGTCTTCACTCATAACAGGTTGTTACACCAGAAACCGCAACACAGACAGCAGCAATTCACCTCCGAGCACAGACTCAGTCTCACGGTGCTAACTCCTTCCTTTGATGTAACACTTAACTTCACGTCTCAATCGGATTCCCCGGCTCCCCGAGTCGCTTTGCATCGCTTCCTTTCCGACCGATCTCACCTCTCCGCTTTGAACGTCTTGGTAATTAACTCAGTCTGCCGTCTACCTCCATGTCCCATTCCAGTCTGACTTACTGCCACCTTCATCTCTCTCACATACATACATACATACATACATACATACATACATACATACATACA